TACTCAATAATTTCTTTTTTCTGATGCGAATTACTTGAGTTAAGTAAAGACTGAAACAAGGCGTAATGATATGACTTTATCATACCAAGAACAGCTGATTTCAATGCATCAAAAGGTTTAGTAGTAATAAGTAATAAAAATGTAAAATAAATTGATTAGGATAAATTACGTAACGTATTTTACTCAGAGTTACATGGAATATCCATCTCTCCAGAAGTGCAGTCATTCACACTTTCAGGGACAATGCACAGAATAATATTGTTTTAACCATTATCTTCTACGATAATAATTCAATAAACTTTATGGAAGGCTTCCTATATTTTATCTATGAAGTAAAGAGTATCAAATTTCTGTTCGCCGTCGAGAAAATTTGTCTAAAACACAAAGTGCTATGTCGTCATCTATGACGGAAACTTTTCTACATTTTTCATTGGCTGAAAAGATTTCAATTTTGAAACTGAATTTTTAAACCAACTGATTTTAAGATTTTGCTTTCTACACGAGCTGCACATGACTTGAGCTAAACAGCTTTTAAATTTAGATTTTGGGAGAGTAATAATCATAGAGAGTTTCGTTCTTTTTAACCCTGATTCTATCTGTATTGGAGGATTGCGTCTCTATTATGACTTAAGCTGTGCCCAATTCTGTTTTTCCAAAGAGTCATAAAACATTCTATGTTTAATTCTCTATTGACGATTGTTTCTGTACTGGGAGGTTAGTTTTCTTTAGACTATGATTTTATTTGATCTGGGAGTTTAGTTTTCTTTTGACTGTGATATCATTTGTACTGAGAGTTTAGATCAATATTGGGGTTTTATGTTTGTCTTTTGCATAGTATTTTCAACTTCTATTTCATTTTCCCTAAGGAGAAAAAATTTAAGGTATCATCCATTTTACTAAGCCTGTGAGATGAAATTAAGTCTTCTTCAAAGAAAAGATGTGTTTTTGTCATCTATCCTCAAGCTCCACAACTGTTCCATGTCTTAAGGGTCATAATCATCGGGAGTTTAGTTCTCTATTGACCATTTTATCTTAACAGTTTAGATACTTATCAACCTTAAACAGGTCGAGACCACTACCTTATATGGAAGGCAATTTTCTTTGTCTTCGATGTCTTTTCGATGTCTTCGTCACACTCGTTCTCTAATCAAGTGAATGAGTCCCAAAGCATGACACTCTACTACGGGTTTACGATTCAATGGCGAAACGCAGTTTTCGTCGGTTTACTGCACATTATTTAACTCGTCACCGGAAAAAGTGTAGAGCTTCTTTATCACCTTATAAGACCGTAATTGGAAGATTATATTCTAAAGACATTGCGCCATGCTCACATTTAACCATTTGATATTGGAGTTGTTTTAGATGATTAATAGTTGCTTCGAATACCGTACAAACGCTTTGACGTTTGCATGTACATAAAACATTTTCTGATAATATTGAGGGTTTAAATAATAATTGCACACCTTCTCCCGCTGTCTAAAACCAAGGACCTATATACTACCTTCTAAAACTATGTACACGTTTATCACGTGAATAAATCTCAATGTTTTATCGACTCAATAGCACAGGTCTACGTCTTTTTGAACAATGGTTTAAGCCGATGTATTATAAGTTGATATAATTTTGTAAATGTGAGCATAGAAATGAAAGATTATACATCATTTTAAATATTTCTTTCACAAATTTAAAAAAAAAGAATTGAAAATAAGTTTCCAAGGGACAATTCAAGTTGCTCTTTATTTTCAACACGACTGGGTACTTATAGTCCACAATGCATTGTAGTTCATTCAGCAGTAGGTAAAGTAAACAGATAGCTATTTCACATATATCTACATCCACTGAATATTTTCTCCTTTATTTCTTGAGAAAACCCATTGCGTTAATCACTGCATGAACTAAATTAGGCATGCAGCCTGTACAGATTTCTTGATCAGTGGCTGTTCCATCAATGAAACGTATAAAGACGTTCACATCATAAATACAATAATTAAACTTTTTAATCCTTCTTTAAATGATTATTTGAACAGATATAAATATAAACAATAAAATGTTTTTCTTTGTTTGTTATTACTAGAATCGCAGCTATTGCAGAAAAAAAATTACAATCTTTACACGAACAGGCCGCCATATTCTTATGTTAACGTTGTAACGCACATTTGATTGAATTTGTTTGGTCTTGAAAATTCTCTTCGCCCCAACATTTACAATAATGTTCTGCAGTTCTGTTGAGGAATTCTTAGTTTTTAATACACGAAGAATGATCCATACTCAGAATAATCTTACCATATAATGAGTTCTTGATATATTTCTAGATAAAAGAGGTGAAATATCTACATCTACATCTACATCGTACGTTGGTCCGTCATCCTTGACGATTACTCAACGGCGCAGCGCTTTGACAACATTGTTAGAAAGATTAAAATGTAAAAACGGTTAAAAGGTTAAAAAGGGAAGTTTTCAGCTCTTCTGTCAGCAGCCAGTCCGGTAACCGTAGCGGCCCTGAGACTTACTAGTAGAGGTCTCCCGGCATTGCCTACTGACTTCACTAGAGCTTACTTGCTCCCTGAGCCATCTAGAAGGAAAGTGATGTGAGCCCCTGCTTGAAGTGTACCAAGTCAGGGGCCTCAGCAACAGATGCTGGTAAAGTGTTCCAGGTTATGATAGTCCTGGGGAAGAAACTGAACTTATAGATGTTGGTTCTGCACTGATGATGTTGGAATCTGTAGGAATGGGAGGATCTGGTTCGACTTGACGATGGAGTGACATACTGAGATAGCGGGATATCTACCAGGCCTTTCCATGCCTTATAAAACATGGCGAGCTGTGCCTTGGTCCTACGACTCTCTAAGGATTCCCACTGAAGACTGTCTAGCATGTCTGTAACACTGCTGGTATTCCTGTATCTATTTGTGACATACCTAGCAGTTCTTCTCTGGACCATTTCAAGTCGGTGGATGTGATCCTTTGTGTGGGGATTCCATACTGAGGCACAGTACTCCAATGTGGGCCGAACTAGTGCCATATATGCCTCTGTCTTGGTCTTCTCATTGGTGATATGGAGGTTCCTACGTAAGAAGCCAAGAGTAGAGTTAGCCTTCTTAACTGTCTTATCAATATGGACCCTCCATGACAAGTTGTTAGTTATCCATACCCCTAAGTACTTGGTGGTCTCTACATTCTCTAACTTCTGACCTTTCAGTGAGTAGCTGTAGAGCTGCGGGTTGCGGGATCTGGTGAACACCATGGTGTTACACTTGTCTGGATGGAAATCCATTCCCCATGTTTTCTCCCACTCCTCTAGGTGATGTAGGTCTTGTTGGAGTTGTTCGCAGTCCTCCCGACTGTGTATCTGGCGATAAAGGACACAGTCATCAGCAAATAATCTCACATGGCTATTGACACAAGATGGCAGGTCATTGATGAAGATGAGGAAGAGCACAGGCCCAAGCACACTCCCTTGTGGGACTCCGCTGATGACAGGTGCGGGCTCTGATGTGGCTCCTTCCACCACCGCTTGCTGGGATCTCCCGGTCAAGAAAGAGCGGATCCATACATGAGTGTTACCGCGGATTCCACTGTGGTGAAGCTTCATAAGAAGTCTCTCATGTGGGACGCGGTCAAAGGCCTTGCTAAAGTCTAGTACAACCATGTCATGTTGGATACCTTTGTCCCATGCTCTTGCCAGGTCATCAAATAATGTGAGTTGTTGGGTCTCACAGCTCCTTCGTGCCCGGAAGCCATGCTGCACATCTGATAATATGCTGTACCTATCCATGTGGTTCATGATGTTACTGACCAATATGTGCTCTAACAGCTTGCAGCATATGCATGTTAAGGAAACTGGCCGGTAATTTGAGGCTTTGTATCTCTCACCTTTTTTGAAAATAGCTGTTACATTTGCCTTTCTCCAGTCATTTGGTACGATGCCCTCAGACAAGCTTTTACAGAACAGTTGAGTGAGGAGTGGAGCAATCTCAGCTGACATGTCCTTCAGAACTCTGGCTGGTATAGAATCAGGTCCTGAGGCTTTGTTAGGATTGAGCTTCCTCAGTAGCTTGCAGACTCCTTCCTCTGAGATCTTAATGTCAGGCATTTGTGGGGATGGTGTACAATGAGGCATGGGGATATTCTGGGTATCCTCTCTGGTAAATACAGATTCGTACTGGCGATTCAGAATATCCGCCTTGTCTTTTGCCTCAGAATGTAGTACTCCTCTGTCCTTTAGTGGTGACACTCCATTGCTGTCCTTCCTCATGGCATTCACAAACCTCCAGAAGCGTTTTTGTTTATTTGGCTGCATATCAGACTCTGCGTTGCCAACTTCAATAATGTTGTTCACATAGTCCCAGTATGCTTTCCGTACAGCGGTTTGTGCTTCAGATTTCGCCTGTAGGTATTTATCTCTGATCTTACTTGATTTCTTCAATTTCTGTTTTGTAAAAAGCTTGTTTCGCTTACGCATCTTGCGTTTTACCTCTTTCGTGATCCATGGCTTGGGAACCTTGTTTCCTGACATCAGCTTTGATGGGATGTGCTTTTCCATTACACCTAGAAGGGTGTCCTTGAAGAGTTCCCAACAGCTATCTACTGACAACTCTGATATAGCCTTGGTATATGTACTGCAGAAGGTATGTAGATCATGCCTAAAATTTTCTAGATCTGCCTTGCTGTACATGAAGACTTTCCTGGGAGGTCTCTTTGGTCGTACTGCACGCAAGCTGGATTCCACGTACACTGCTTCGTGGTCCGAGATGCCAGGTATCACATCACATTTGTTGATCAGAGTGTGGTTATTCGTGAAGAATAAGTCCAATATGTTTGATGTGGTCTCTGTCGTTCGAGTTGGTTTGTGCACCATCTGATTAAGGGAAAAGTCACTGGCTATAGTGATCAGTTGGTTGCACAGAGTGATGTTTGATCCTGTTTAAGTTAACAAGGTAAGTGCTATTCTAGGCTAATTATAGTGTAACCCGGGGTCTTATGGCGTTTTGGATTTAGTAGGGATGAAATGACTATAGTAAAGTTTACACCATTTATTTAACGATAATACATCGGTTGAGGTTTTGACCCTGGAACATAGTAAAAAGCTTAATAAACAACATTGCAAGAAAGATAACTCTTAGTCTCATGTTTCGGGATAAAATGAAAATACCAGATATTTTCCTTTATACACAAGACTCAAAAATATTTGGGTCTGTGAAAATTATCTATGACTGCTCATTATTATGACAAACAAAGTATTATAAATATACTGATAATATACTCATTTAAGTCTCACTGCATATTATCATGCAAGACCTTATTTCACATGAATTCATGAAGAACATGTTTACATGTATGTTTCATCAGTATTATGATCATAAATGTGTCAGGATATATATTTCAAACCAAAAACTCTAGAAATAATGCTTACCTCACATGAGGTGTAAAGGTAGACTTACAATAAGTTAAGCCTACATCCTCTGATCCTGTGAATTCTATCTAAAGGTAAAAATAAATTCACTAACTTAATTCAGCTATTCAGTTCACTATGCTATATCTATATTTATATTACCAATCCTGTATTTCCTTTCAAAATAAATGTTACACTCATACTCGTTCTTTCAGTACAATCAGCCATTTTAATAGAATTGGTATCTAACTATTTCTAATATTACGGAACACATACTTATGTATCTAATAGAAAGACTATATAGGTAAATACAAATTTTCTGACCTGATTATGAAACAGATTCCAATTACAGGTTAAAATTTTGGACAAAACTGACTGACACAACACAGAATGCAGCACAGGAACTACATATAACACACAACAGTAAATCTCCCCCCAAAAGTATCACATGACCAAATTCTTTACAATTGACCACACTGACCAATGAAAAGCAAGGAAAAGGGTATTCCCTCTAAATATAGGTACAGTGTGTAAAAGTTAAAATACTCACATTAGTGATATACTCATTTAGAAAATAACTTAAATAGTAGTTTAAATATATATTCACATTCAACAAATTCATGGTTCAAATAATTTTCTAACTAATGAAAATACTAAATTAATTAATCATAATAAACTGATAAAAATATCTACAAATTTTACTCTGCCACCATAGTATTTCAAGGATTCTTCATAATCATACCGAAGGAAGATCTATTGAACATCTATTGAATGAAAGAAATATCTATAACTATGTAATTAACTCTTAATCAATTATCCCACAATCTTAATCTTGAATACCACTATTAACCCTAAATAATCTTAATTAAAATTTAAGAAAATAACCTTCAAATTTTTTTGAAAATTTTTTCGATTAAACGAATACAGATTTTCTAACTAATACCATCCTTCCGACCAATTTATCGATAACCAGGTTACAAATTGCCATCTCTACATATCAATTATATTTTTGACACCGAAATGCATCAGTTTATCAAATCATGCAATTGAGACTCGATGGATAGAACTTGTTCTGCATGGAATGGTTATTCCCACCTCTGCTAATAATTTGTATTGTTTTGTAGTAGTTTAGGGTGGAATGAAGACATCAACCTGGAATGCTCAGTAGTTTCTGAACCTCAATAGCTAGTTTGCAAGGCTCCTAGTTTGATTTCCGATCCAACCACATTTTTTTCATTATACATGTATATTAATCTATATATGTTCAGATTATGTTAACTAATTTCTCTTTTCCCTATTACAAAAGCGATGGACTTAACCAGATGATCATTTTTCGTTATTTTATTTAACTTAAAACTAGCTCAAAAAGGTTTTTGAATGCACGCTACAAAAGTACGTTTCATTTTCAGTATCAATAACATCATGTTGCAATTGCTGTTCTAAAAAGAGTTTTCAGGAAATGTTATATGCAAAGAAACTGTACAATTTTTTTCCTCATTTTAGTTCTAATCTAACATCCGTCTGAATCTGTACATTTGTTATGACCTCAATTTAACCAAACTACATCACCTTAAAGCTTTGAAAGTAAAACTAAATACAATGAAAATATTACTGGAGTGTACAGGCATAAAGCAAAAAAAAAAAAAAAAAAAAAAAAAATTAAAACCTCTAAATCTATCATTGCACCATTAAAAAATCATTCTTTCAACAGATATTGTTCTTTTGAATATGAATTTACATTAATAACAGTTTTTGCAAAACCTATGACATCATAGGAGGATGGAGATACCTAAATTTCATTATAAAGACATTTTTCATTAAAATGTGAGTTGTTGTCACGTGAATGTTGTCAAATTTTATTATCCACTCAGCTATATTTCACTTATTCTTCTCTTCAAAACATCACCACTAAGTCTTAATATGGCCTGGAAAGAAATAAATCAGATAATTCCTATAAAAATATAACATTTTAGAGATTAAGTTGACAAGGATTATCATATAGAGACTATTTCTTTTTTTTTATATAAAAATAACACAGACATTGAACAAGTTAGTCTTTAAAAAGATTTTTTTATTGTAAAACTATTTTTAGACTAATTATACGAATTAGAAATAAATGGCATTATTAAATAATTGAGAAAATACTTGAACTTTGCAAATACTGTACAGAAGTACAAAAATACAGATAGGATTGTTTTATACAGATGTAAATTTTATTCCCATGTTTTTTTTTTGTTTCTATGGTATAATTTAATTTGCATTATTTTCTTCTGAGAGATATATGCTCTAAAAATCATTTTATTGTTAAATATAAATTTGGCCCTATATTTTTTTTTTTACCTACGCCATAAACATTAATGAATGCCTGGTCTTACTCTATCAGAGGAAATAAATTTTAACAGTCGAGAGATGTTCGACAACCACAATTAAAATTGTTTCATTTAAATTTCACTGTTGGAAAACAAAATTACCTTAAACACATATTACTTAAACTCACCTGAGAAATATCAGCCCAGATTATGTTAAAGACATCATCACTCATTTCGGGGCTACTTCCTGGAGTATGGCTGTAATTATTTCTGTATAAACGAATTCTTTCTATGTCGTCACTCTCCGTGATGTCCACTATTCTAGGTTCTTTTCCCCATCCATTTCCTGGGGGAGCTATGTCCGAGAAATTCCTCAACAGTTTATACATGATGGTAACGTCCATAGATAAAGATGATACACCAGTGTTGGATCCACCTTCAATAAATTACTAAAAATTACTAGACCTTCTCGTCTGAAATGAATTAAGTAGAGGTTATGATTTTCTTCTACACTCATTTATTTATATACACAGTCAGAATTACTTAAATCCCCACAACCTAATTTGCCAAGGGAGTATGTGGTTTTTAATTTAATTAACAATCAGTTCCAAAATTCATTTTGGAACTCATCAAATAGGCTGAAACAATGCTTTCAATGTCTTTAAGTTTAGTAAACATAGATCAGAATAGCTTTAAAATTGTATAAAAATAAAGATTTCTTATATTTTGAACAATTTAGTAATTCAATCGTAAGTTTGTTGTGTACATGATATCACTTGTAGCACAAAAAAAAGAAAAAGAAAAAAAGAAAAATGTTTTTGGTAATTACAATATCTTATATGAAGAAACATTGAAATCAAGCAAAACATTTCTAATATTTAAATTTAGTATTGAAACCATTCTTATTTTCTATCCTTTTTAACATTAAATTCGTTTCAACTTGTACTCTTCTGTTCTAGTTTTGATATTAAAATTGCTTCGCTGTATTATTTAAAGACGTTTGTCGTTTTTTTTTTATTCTGATAACTTTTTTTTTACTCTTTTATCCAATACTATTTCAAAAGGAATAACTTGTAAATAAATATTAGGATCTTGTTCTTTAAGTGATTAGTTGAAAGCTGTAAAATCACTGTTTTTAGGGGTAACATTTTCTTGATTTGAGAAAAACTAAGAGGTTTGGAGGGATTCAATTTCTTTGTTAAAGGAAAAACAAATATTGTGTTAGCTGCAGAACTGTAGCTCTCTGCTTGAGAAAATTCGGATAGATAAAGCAGAGAGCTACAGAGCCAAGCGTTGTAAAAACCTTCGATTTACGCCGACGATTTTTCGTCGCTCACTATGGGTATTTATTCGTGTATTTAATACTTTCCCAAGCTTTGGAAATAATTTTAAATGGTATTTCATAATTACTTATACATTCAACTTTGATTCCTGATCATTTACTTACCTCTCAACGCTAACAAATGGCTGTTTGTGGTTACGGACGTCGAAATGGAACTCTTTTACACCGACATTACAAAACTATATAAAGGACTGTTTCAGTGTACTTTACTAGATTTACCCCTTGTAATACATATTGTGACCCCACCCTACCCCACTGATCATAATTTAGACAATTTGAAATCTACACTACCCCAGGATGCTTCCATATTTAAGTTTCAGCTTTTCTGTCCCAGTTGTTATTAAGAAGATTTTCAAAGCTTTTTCCTATATATTTCTATGTAAAACTTTAATTCCCCATTGTGTCCCCGCCCAATCCCCAGGGGTCATGATTTGAACAATTTAGAATCTACACTACCCCAGGATGCTTCCATATAAGTTTCAGCTTTTCAGGCACAGTGGTTCTTGAGAAGAAGATTTTCAAAGATGTTTCCTATATATTTCTATGTAAAACTTTGATTCCCCATTGTGGCCCCGCCCAACCCCCGGGGGTCATGATTTGTATAATTTAGAATCTACACTACCCCAGGATGCTTCCACATAAGTTTCAGCTTTTCTGGCACAGTGGTTCTTGAGAAGAAGATTTTCAAAGTTTTTTCCTATATATTTCTATGAAAAACTTTGATTCCCCATTGTGGCCCCGCCCAATCCCCGGGGGTTATGATTTGAACAATTTAGAATCTACACTATCCCAGGATGTTTCCACATAAGTCTCAGCTTTTCAGGCACAGTGGTTCTTGAGAAGAAGATTTTCAAAGTTTTTTCCTATATATTTCTATGAAAAACTTTGATTCCCCATTGTGGCCCCGCCCAATCCCCGGGGGTTATGATTTGAACAATTTAGAATCTACACTACCCCAGGATGCTTCCACATAAGTTTCAGCTTTTCTGACACAGTGGTTCTTGAGAAGAAGATTTTCAAAGATTTTTCCTATATATTTCTATGTAAAACTTTGATTCCCCATTGTGGCCCCGCCCAATCCCCGGGGGTCTTGATTTGAACAATTTAGAATCTACACTATCTCAGAATGTTTCCACATAAGTCTCAGCTTTTCAGGCACAGTGGTTCTTGAGAAGAAGATTTTCAAAGTTTTTTCCTATATATTTCTATGAAAAACTTTGATTCCCCATTGTGGCCCCGCCCAATCCCCGGGGGTTATGATTTGAACAATTTAGAATATACACTACCCCAGGATGCTTCCACATAAGTTTCAGCTTTTCTGACACAGTGGTTCTTGAGAAGAAGATCTTCAAAGATTTTTCCTATATATTTCTATGTAAAACTTTGATTCCCCATTGTGGCCCCGCCCAATCCCCGGGGGTTATGATTTGAACAATTTAGAATCTACACTACCCCAGGATGCTTCCACATAAGTTTCAGCTTTTCTGGCCCCGTGGTTCTTGAGAAGAAGATTTTTTAATGACCCCACCCTATTTTTGTCTTTTCTTGATTATCTCCCCTTGCGAGGGGATATGTCCCTTCATTTTAACAATTTAAATTCCCCTTCACCCAAGAATGCTTTGTACCAAGTTTGGTCAAAATTGGCCCAGTGGTTCTTGAGAAGAAGTCGAAAATGTGAAAAGTTTACGGACGGACGGACAGACGGACAGACGGACGGACGGACGGACGACGGACACAATGTGATCAGAAAAGCTCACTTGAGCCTTCGGCTCAGGTGAGCTAAAAACCAATAAGTACCTTGTTTTGGGAAGAGAATCTCTAACTGAGGTGGTTGGAATCGAAACTGTCCTCTTCTTATGTCTGTTTCATTTTCTTTCAGAGTCTTTCCTAGTTCTTCTTTTGGGAAGAATTTATCAAAGCAAATTCTTACTGCATCAGTTCCAACTTGCAATAACATTAATATCTTGGCAAAATTATCTATATAATAGAAATATAACCAAATTGTCTCCATTAATCGAAAAAAAAATATGGGTAAGATGAAAGAAGATGAAAAATATAAATTATTCATTCAATACCTTCTCAAATATATCAACTGAAAATAAGTCTACAGTAAAGGATATGAACTAATTAATAAATATTAGGAAAAGAAAAGGCCGTATCTGCTCCTCATGTGATTGTTTAAGTTGATTTCGTTTTATACATATGATACATACAGTTTAAGTTTAAGCAAACAGGATAAGCAAGAGATAAGGGGACATATCTGACAAATTATTTGATTTTAATGCATTTATCTATATGTTGCTTCAATGCTAAGTGCATATTGAAATTGGAAAAATCCTCATAATTGTATATTTTTAGAATTTTGTATTGATTTACTGAACTCTTTGATAAGTTTCTCTTTTTTCTAACAAAATGATATAAAATAACAATACTATTGACAATCATTTCTAGCGAAAATTTACATACATATATAATTTGTATATATATGACTGATTCATTTTCATTGATTTGAATTATTCTGTGTACACCAATGTCCCTTTCACAAGACAATATATTACTAGAAAACTTAGTCTCTCTGATATTCTATAATCTGTGCTACGTAAATTCAAGGGAAATGTGAAACGAACAGAGGATTCTATCTGAAAATTTAGTAGAGATACCTTTAGGATGTGACTTACTGGTTCCAGAACTACTTGATGGTGAATGTTTATCTTCAGTAAGCTTAGTTTCATCGTCGTGTACCTTTAATATGTAAAAGTTTAAATATTTACACTAAAACGGTGTACACTGTATGCCCATCATTAATGATCAATTTAAATCAAATAATACTACAAACAAAATTTCACAAATGGAAAACACGGAAAAGGTATAACAAACTTTCGTTTAACTCTCACATTACAAATGAATGTTTCAGTGAAAACAATGAGTGAGTGAAATGACAAGTTCCATTTTTGCTCTCGACTTGCAGTTTTCATATTTCATATTTTCATATATATACATATATAAACTCTGATTTTAACTAAAATAAAGCGAAACTACATTTTTTTTTCACACATCCCCAGTAAATATTGGAATTATGATTTGAATAAGTATACACATATGTTGCACAATAATGATGTATATTTCTCTGAACGCTACGATGACCTTCTTATCAAAATCAGCCTTTAAAGACTTTTTTTTACCCCAATAGGAATTATACTTCAAATTTTACCAAATTCCTTTATTTTAGGAAATTAATTAAACAACTTGTATTCACTCTCTATGAATTTTAGATTGCCTTTCCTTCTTTAATTTCAAATTTATCGTATCTAACCCTTTTTAACATTTTTTGTAGAAATTTAATCCTCTCTTTCTTCAGATTTAAAACTTCCATCGTAACCTTTTTTTTCAAAATTGAGTTAACTTAAGACTGTAAAGTTCAAATAGGAGTCATGTAGCCAAGATATACGCACAGAACACTCAAAGTATGATCCCAGAATATTAAAAATTTTCAGAAACTAAATCTTACAGTAAAACTTAACTCCTTTTTTCTTCTGGAAAAAACAACTATTAAAATTAAATACCTGGATCCAAAATTTCATGATATCCTTTGAGTTGATGTTATGCATTCTCCCAACTGGACAGGCAGGGCACTGAAAATTAGGTTTTATAAAATCCGATTGGGGGATCACAGAACTTTCATTGTTATCACAGAATCCCGTAGCTTTGCATTTGAAAGCGTGCGAAAATTTAGAGTCTGTATGAAATGTTTCTGAGAGAATGTTCAGTATATTGTCGATCTTGTGCTTTATTTGTTGACATATAGATTTATCGACTTCTCCTTCAATTACAAACACTTGTGACTGAATTTCTGTTGGTGTCATACCAATCAAAATGTTATGATTCTCAAAACAAAACACAGCTACTGTCTGGTAAATGCATAGTTCATCACGACTTGAATTAAGTTTCCATGGTATTTGAATGCAAATAGCTACTAGACGCTGAAAAATTCCAGCAGGAAGAGCATCAAAGACGTAGCAGAGGATGGATGAGGCAGGGTATGATGAAAAGTATTCTGCAGGAAATGGTTTCTTGTTCATACAGGGGACATACCATTTGTTTTCATCCATTTTAGCCAGGAGTCCTAGCTTCTCCATGTAGCGCATGATATCTTCTTTGTATTCAAGGTACCCATTGTTGTTCATTTTCCATATCGCAGACAGCAGTGTGTCACTCAGTTCTCCAGTTTCATTAAATTTATCCCATTGTGAGGCAAGCTTAAATAAATCCTCTGCTGCATGGTTTTTATCGGTAATGACATTTTTGAATGCATCTGCAAACCATTGAACATCAAGAATTATGATTCCTCTAAGAAATTCTTGGTCAAAGTGTAAAATTTCTCTGATGTCATGGAAAAAGTGCAGCATGGTGTTAATATCTTTGACTGCTTCCAGCTTCAATTCCTGTGGCAATGCGTCATTGAAAGCCAAAAGTGTCTCTTTGTTGATGATTTTAAGGTTTTTCTTTTCTTGGAAGAATTTTTCAAACATTGCCCAGGAGTATGGAAGTTTCTCTCCCCAGTGATCAAGATTTTTGACAACATAAACAACTGACAGCTTGATTTTTTCAATGCATTCATTTTCATGGAATCCAACAGCAAACATCCTTTCCCTGTCAAAATGCCTTTGCAGAGACGCATCCTTTGTTTCCAAGCTCGTCCATATCTCACGGAAAAACTTTTCTTTCTCCTGGTAAAAAAGAGTTATTGAGTTTAAAAGTATGAAGCTAGCAGACAATGGATTTAGCTGTTCTTGAAAAAATGCTTTTTTATTTTACTTTTGAATTTGATCCTCATTTGTGACTTCTTCTTACACTTAGGGATCATTTGAAAGATTGATTAAAAGAAATTTGAATCTTCATTACCTTACATTAGGATCCTTACATGTCAACATGATTAAACATAGCCTTTATGTTACTGAGATTTTTCTTCTCTATATTGATAATTAAAATTTTGATCACAAACTGTGGATATGGAAAATGTGACCTTTGCACCCGTTTTAATATGCATTACTTCTTTTAAAAAATTGTAACAAAGCAACTGAATACTTGTAGAAAATGTAATATAGCTATCAATAATGGATAGGACTGGGCCGTAGTTATTACCAGTTATACCGCACGTATCAGCTGTTTGTCACGTGACTTGTATCAAAAATAGAATTGTTAAGGGGGCTGTCTACAACGTCACAACATGGCGTACTTCCGTAAAAACGCCATTTTGATCCCAAATGATCAGATTCAAATTCACTTAACACCGATAAATCACTGAGTATAACACAACATGCGATATTGTGGATGGAATGTACATTATAACACATGAATTAATACAGTGTATCGCCCAGTACGTATCCTTTCTTTAAAAATGAATTGTTTGTCAATTTATTCAATTTCTACTTATTTAATTATTAAATAATACATTCACAAACTTATTAGAATAAGATTTTTAGATGAGAAAAAAATGATATAAAACATGGCTTGTCCATATGCTAATTCACCATTACGTGTCAAAACGCCATACACTCAGAAATTTATTTCTCCAATAATCATATATGCTTTTCAGCAAAATATATCCACCCAAAAATGCAAATTTGATAAGATAAGACATATGTATTATCTTCCCATCGACTAGAGGATACTCGGTTCTCAATTTGTATACACCCGACTGAATGGTTATACCCGGTGAAATTTCGCATGACCCAAACGTTTGATCACCATTGATTGTCAGCTGTTTACAAGTATGGGAAACGTCCAGGTTTTAGACGAAGTGTGCATCTGGTTAAAGAATTTCTTTTACCGCTTTTGGCCATTTACCATCTTAACTTGTTTTGTTATATATATAGCACCGGATAACACATGCAAGTTGGATAAAAACGGTAAGTAAATCTACCTTTCTCAATACCATGAATTCACTAAATACATGTCTTTGTCATTGACTGGAAACGCGATGATTTTCGCTTAAACTCATTGAAAAACAATACATGTACAATACGAACTTCTTTCAATGTCCTTGCGTGACATTTGTTAATACTTGTGCAAGTAGAGTTTATTTGAAGTTTATATATAAAAAAAACAGTACCAAGATATTTGAGTCCACTCTTAAAGCGGATCTCTCACACCTGAATTTTTGTGATGTTTATAAATTTTTGACAGTTTTTCAATTCTTTTCAATTTCTTTTTTTCATTGTTTTTACCCTTTGATATAATATATCTTTTCAGATATTGAAGAGGATCCAACCAGCTATTCTCAAGAAAATGCTGTTTTAGTTTATCTTTTGTCTATTTTTGTAAATTTAAATAAAAATTATGTTGATTTTATTTTTATCTTTGTTGGTTATTATTTCAATATTTTATAACGCTAAACTTTGAAGAGAAATTTAAAGCACTGGGCTTTTAAAAATATAGATAGGAGGGATTTTAACAAAATAAATAAAATATTTCAAATATTTCTAAAAAATAAATTGAAGTACTTTGGAACCTTATTTTATCGGATATGGGGTCTATTATTAGAAACAAATGCATGCAACAAAAATCAGTTGTTCTTTATAGGTGTAGAGAGCCCCCTTAAGCTGAAGGTAGGAAATGGGGATAGTGCAAGGGCATACGCTTGGTTTTCAAGAAAAAAGTTGATACACATTAAAATATGTTTATTTCCTCTACCCAAAAAGTGCTAGGAGCTAGTCAGTGCTGTTTGTGAAGTACTGAAAATTTTGCCGAATATTCGATATTCTCTACATTCCTTGTCCCTGCGCAGCTCCATTGCTACTAGATAAATTTATATTCTATACACATTGTATTTAATAAATTATTTTCTTTTAGTTTAAATGATTAGATTTAAAAATTAGCCATGAAATCAAATTTATTTAAGCATTCTTATTATTATTTAACCAGTAAATCTAGTCCTTTGGATCACTTGTGCTGTGTCATGTCAAGGTTGATGACGTCATATTTGACGTAAGACTTCCCTCTATTACTCAACTGTATTGCTATCAAGTATTGCATTTTTACAAGATTTTATAAATAATCGATAGAATTAATTCAAGTTGTTATTTACGAATGATCATATAGTTAATTTTTAAAATTTAAGAACATTGAATTATCATCATGATCATAGAGCAAGTCTTCAGGAGAAAATTTTTAATAGAAATGAAAGCACAAAGTTGAGTCCATAAATTGGTATATTTGTTAGAAAGAAATTAATAGAAATTGGCAATCTGTAATACATAAAGAAAAACTATCTCTTTGTCAAAAATCTTTCAAATAAGATTCATATTTTTCAAATCCCCTGGTTCTTAAGAAGTTTTTTTTTTTAAAAATAGCACCACGCAGTACAGTTAAGGTGCGCAATGGAAATATCGGCTAAATTTTGTATTTAAAAATGTATTCGTAATCGGGATGGTGACTATTTTTAGTACATTATTTATATAGGACAATTGTAATTATGATTAATAACTACATATCGAGGACGATTATTTTTTATATTTAGACTAGTCACGTGATGCGGCAGTCACGCGATTTTAGCACATTGACTTGAAGTATTGATGTTACATATAAATATCACTAGTGCAAGGGCATAATCAAGTTAAATTTCAAAGTTTAGTATATAAATATTTTCAAAAAGCATTGTAGTTTCTAAAAAGAGCTGCGATCCTGTCTAAATTCTGCAATTTCATTGTTAAAATTATACTTGTATGACCTTATGCTATATTTTTTGCTGGTCAGCGGCATGAAATATTGATATAATTAAATTGTTTTTAAGATTTCATCAGGATCGCAGCACTTTTCAGATACCTTATTAGTTCTATAGTTGTAATGAAAAATATTACTTTGATCCATAGAGTGTATGCCCTTGCACTAGATCGATTTATTAAGACCCCACACATTACCCTCTGATGTACTTGCATACAAATATACGGTAGTGTCGATTAAATACGTAATGTACAGAAAATATATTAATAAAAAATAGCGAAGAAGACATTAAATTCAAGTTATTGTCCCATAGAATTTCTGTATATAATATTTTATTTAATTAGAAAATACGTATTTTGTTGAGAAAATATTACTTGATCTGTCTCTCAATGCATACAAAGTACGTCACGTTGTACGAAATGACGTCATATTGACAAGTGTATTGCGATCGGTGACTTGTTTATAACTTGTTATGTGGGATTTAACTAACGACAAAACAACACGCTGTAGTAAGTTTTTATGTAGTTTGATGATTTTTTACTGGTTAAATTAGCAAATAAACTCATTCTGTGGAATTTTAAAGAAATGTTGTATGACGTATATTGTGTATGGTGTCATAGTCAAGTTTTCCCGTACAAATTAGGCTCCGCCTCCTTTTTGTAACCTTAACTGTGCTGCGCACCCAGTTTTAACTACTTCTTGGTAATATCTACTTGGTATAGACATGGGCCTTGATTTGAACAAACTTAAATTCCCTTTACCTGTATTATAGTATAGCTTTACAGTATAATCTGATAATATAATAACATAATATAATATAATTGATCAAAACGTTCCTTTGTTCTTCGGCTTCGAAGAGCTAAAAAAGCTTTTGCAGTACCTCTTTTGTCTTTTTTTCAGCATGAGTGCCCACCAGTAACACAGGAGCCTTTCCACTGCTGTATTGATGAATGGACTTGGCCCAGAACGTTAGATAGTCTGAATAAAATAAAAATCAATATTTACTCAGTAAATTTATAAGTGTTCATGATACACCATCCTGTAAGCCTACATAAAACTACAAGTAGTAGTCTATATCGTGTTTATGAGTGTATTCACCTTCAAAAGAAAAAAAATATTTATCTTTAACAAGAACTCAATCATACATGTAAGACTATCAATAAAGTTGCAAATTCCTGAGGCCTAAATCCTGTTCAGTTGATATTAATGAAATACATGTATTATGAAACCTCGGTAATGAGCAATGAACATAAGCCTAATTTTGAATGTATGGCCTTTTTATAGACTTGACTAAATCCATAGACCATAAGGATCATCTCAATCTGTTGTTATATCTTCATAGCAGTTTTCAAGGTCATTGTATCGACCAGAGAACTTTCGAATTTATGAATTTAACATGTTTAAAAGAGATTGCTTGTCAATTATAAAAATTAAGCAGAAAGACCTTCAATACTTATAATGCATTTGCTTCGACAGAAACTAGACAACTACACAAAATAAACACTAATTATGTAATAAAAACATACCTTTGTGTGTCCACCCTTCGTAAATTGAACCTTCCTGGCTACAGACTTCTTTTCCCACCTTTTCAAGTAATTTCTTTTCCATATTAAGCACTAGGATGAAGAATGCCCTTGGACTCAGAAAAATCTGGTGTGAGGCATAATATGAACACTGTCCCGCAAAGTCTACCATAGTAATTTTTTTCTCTGGTTCATCCGATGCATCTTTGGAGACTCGTAAAATTCCCGATATTTCTGATTCTTTTGGAATATTTTGTTTGTCTTCAATCATTTCCTCTTTTTCCAGAAAGGCAGCAGCTTCATTCCCTTTACGTGATTCAGATTCTGTATTCAAGCTCTCATGTGTAATTTCTTCATCGCTGACCGAATCTTTATCGCTTGTTCTACTGCCTGTATCTTCCTGATTTCCTTTCTCTTCAATGTTCAAGTTTTTCATGTCACCAGATAATTCTGCAGGTTTGTCCTGAACACTCTTTTGTTGGCTTGATTCATCAATTTTAACTTTAAAGCGTTGTTTTTGGCTGGATGTGTTTACTGTAAAACGAAAATAAAATTTTAATTTTTCTTTTTTAATCATTCTTTTATTTTTTTTTTAAATACAAAGCCTTGAACATCACTAGCTTAGCTGATCCAATCTAATTAAAATTAGATGTTAGATCTGCTCACATACTTGCCACACTAACATCTAACAACATCCCATAGAGGGTCACGTCAGAATGTCAAAATCTGACATGACCCTCTTTGGGAATTTTAATTAGATTGTAGCTGATCCAACTTATTTCATAAAGTTTAGAACTAGTCAGGCACAAAGGTCAGACTCATCTCTCTCTCTTCTCTCACTCTCTCTGTGTGTACATAAACTAAACATTTGTTCAACTTTATAATAGAACTAGATATCATTGAGATGGTGGCCATCTCAAAGGGCCCCGCTTTTACCTTACATGAAAATGTAAGGTAGCTGAAAAGGGTTAATTTTGAAGGTGTTTGAGATTAAAAGGGACAAAAAGTAACTATAACTCTTTGAAAAATAATACTAACAATTAATAAAACGTTCAGAAATGTATCCTCTATGAATATTGTTGCATATCCTCTATCATAATATGGAAGGAAAATCACATACCCAGTCAATTTGTTTGAGACCGAGAGGACTTAAGGGAAAGAAATTATGCTCCAAACAAAGATTTTAAACAGAGAGGCTATTTTTGACCTTGACCCTTGACCTAGAAATTTTGTTCAAGGTCACTGCACATCACTGGCACCCTCTGAGTGAAGTATGAGCCACATTGGACAAAGGGGAGAAAGGACATGCTACGGACAAGGAGTTTTCATATAATAATAATATGATTCTGCTATGACCTTAACCTTAGAACTAGAAACATGGTTCAAAAACACTGCACATCCCTTACCCAAAGCCAATTTGTGAGTGAAGTATGATCCACAATAGACCGATAGGAAAGAAAATATGCTAGGAACAAAGATTTTCATATAATTCTGCTGTGATCTTAACCTTTGTCCTAGAAACATGGTTCAAGGTCATTGCACACCCTTCACCTAAAGGCACTTTTTGAAATAGGTATGAACCTAGTTGGACAAAGGGCAGAAATATGCTCCAAACAAGGATTTTCATACAATTCTACTATAACATTAACCTTTGACCTAGAAACATGATTCAAGGTCAATGCACACCCTTTATCCAAAGGCACTCTGTGGGTGAAGTATGAGCCAGATTGCGCCAAGGGAAGAAAAGATAGGCTCCGGACAAGGATTTTTCAAATAATTCTGCCATGACCTTGACCTTTGACCTATAAACATGGTTCAAGGTCACTGCACACTGGTTGCACCAGAGCACTCTGTGGGTGAAGTATGAGCCAGAAGGGGAGAGAAGATATGCTCCCAACACAAATTTTTCATATAATTCTTTGACCTTGACCTTTGACCAAGAAACATGGTTCAAGATTTGTTTGTTAAACATTATCACCCGGCGGCAGCAAAGTTTGAAAAAGCTATTTTTAGTATATAGGTCACAGTCAAGGTCATTTATCTTGATGTCATTTGCAAGAACTTAATTAGTGGAGTATGCATACCAAATATGAAGTCCCTATCTCTAATGGTTCAAAACTTATGGCAAAAAGTTGAAAAGAACTTTTTTTAGCATATACTCTTAGGTCACATTCAAGGTCACAAGGTCATTGACCTTGATGTCATTTGAGAAAACTTTATTAGTGGAGTATTCATACCAAATATGAAAGTTGAAAAAGCTATTCTTAGCATATAGGTCACAGTCAAGGTCAGAAGGTCATTGACCTTGATGTTATTTTAAAGAACATTATTAGTGGAGTACATGTATGTATACCAAATATGAAGTCTCTGTCTCTTATGGTTTAAAAGTTTTTACAAAGGTTTAAGTTGACAATTAAGACAAACAAACAGACAAACAGATAAACATACAAACAGACAAGACAAAAACAATATACGCCCTGGATCTATCGATCCAGGCGCATAAAAATGCATTTCAACTGCCCCTACCACACATGAACCCCTGACCCTTTGGCCTAGATCCACACATTGCACAATTTTTGAAAAGGCATCCTTGCTTTTCAAAAATATTTGATTAATACCAAGGAGCAGATTTCAAACAATTCATTCATTTTCAGTATATAAGAACAGCCCCCTCTCCTCTATGGTACCCCTGACCCTGGGTTTTTGAAATTCACAATTCTGGACGATAAGGGCCATTGCTTAGCATAACTATAAAGATAGTTCATCTGCTTAATACATGTACACAGGAACAGAGAAGAAAATTTTCAAAGATTTAATGTATTTTCACTGTATAATCAATAAAGCCCTGCCCTAACACCAGAACCTCTGACCCTTGGGCCATAAAATTCAAAAATTTGGAAGAGGCATTCTTGCTCATTATAACTATGTACTTAGTTTATTAGGAGCAGAGAAGAAGAATTTCAAAGAATTCATGTATTTTCACTATATATTCAATAGAGCCCCGCCCTAACACCAGAACCCCTGACCTGGGGTCATACTATTCACAATTTCGGTATAGGCACTCTTGCTCATTATAACTATGTATTGATTTATCTAATACCCAGGCGACCGTTTCACTAACAAATCGTAGATCGTAAACTTACGATAACGTTTACGATTGCTAGAGGTGCACGGTAAACGAGCGTTTCACAAAACATATTGTAAACGTAGTACTTACGACTGGCGAGTTACGATCAACTTATTGGAACTCTTCTGACAAAGGAGGTGTATTTCTTTTTGTTTGAGAGTGAGAGAAGATGAGAGAGAAAGAAGGAAATATTACGAAATAAAAATAAAAATTTTTCATTATTTGTCTTAGACTTCAAAAATAAAGACAGACAGAAAGAGAAACAAGAGGCCCATGGGCCACATCGCTCACCTGAGAAGCTTTGGCCATTCTGTACTTTACTAGATTTACCCCTTGTAATACATATTGTGACCCCACCCTACCCCACTGATCATAATTTAGACAATTTGAAATCTACACTACCCCAGGATGCTTCCATATTTAAGTTTCAGCTTTTCTGTCCCAGTTGTTATTAAGAAGATTTTCAAAGCTTTTTCCTATATATTTCTATGTAAAACTTTAATTCCCCATTGTGTCCCCGCCCAATCCCCAGGGGTCATGATTTGAACAATTTAGAATCTACACTACCCCAGGATGCTTCCATATAAGTTTCAGCTTTTCAGGCACAGTGGTTCTTGAGAAGAAGATTTTCAAAGATGTTTCCTATATATTTCTATGTAAAACTTTGATTCCCCATTGTGGCCCCGCCCAACCCCCGGGGGTCATGATTTGTATAATTTAGAATCTACACTACCCCAGGATGCTTCCACATAAGTTTCAGCTTTTCTGGCACAGTGGTTCTTGAGAAGAAGATTTTCAAAGTTTTTTCCTATATATTTCTATGTAAAACTTTGATTCCCCATTGTGGCCCCGCCCAATCCCCGGGGGTTATGATTTGAACAATTTAGAATCTACACTATCCCAGGATGATTCCACATAAGTTTCAGCTTTTCAGGCACAGTGGTTCTTGAGAAGAAGATTTTCAAAGATTTTTCCTATATATTTCTATGTAAAACTTTGACTCCCCATTGTGGCCCCGCCCAATCCCCGGGGGTTATGATTTGAACAATTTAGAATCTACACTACCCCAGGATGCTTCCACATAAGTTTCAGCTTTTCTGACACAGTGGTTCTTGAGAAGAAGATTTTCAAAGATTTTTCCTATATATTTCTATGTAAAACTTTGATTCCCCATTGTGGCCCCGCCCAATCCCCGGGGGTCTTGATTTGAACAATTTAGAATCTACACTACCCCAGGATGGTTCCACATAAGTTTCAGCTTTTCTGGCACAGTGGTTCTTGAGAAGAAGATTTTCAAAGATTTTTCCTATATATTTCTATGAAAAACTTTGATTCCCCATTGTGGCCCCGCCCAATCCCCGGGGGTTATGATTTGAACAATTTAGAATATACACTACCCCAGGATGCTTCCACATAAGTTTCAGCTTTTCTGACACAGTGGTTCTTGAGAAGAAGATTTTCAAAGATTTTTCCTATATATTTCTATGTAAAACTTTGATTCCCCATTGTGGCCCCGCCCAATCCCCGGGGGTTATGATTTGAACAATTTAGAATCTACACTACCCCAGGATGCTTCCACATAAGTTTCAACTTTTCTGGCCCAGTGGTTCTTGAGAAGAAGATTTTTTAATGACCCCACCCTATTTTTGTCTTTTCTTGATTATCTCCCCTTGCGAGGGGATATGTCCCTTCATTTTAACAATTTAAATTCCCCTTCACCCAAGATGCTTTGTACCAAGTTTGGTCAAAATTGGCCCAGTGGTTCTTGAGAAGAAGTCGAAAATGTGAAAAGTTTACAGACGGACAGACAGACGGACGGACGGACGGACGACGGACACAATGTGATCAGAAAAGCTCACTTGAGCCTTCGGCTCAGGTGAGCTAAAAAAGACAGAAAATGGAAAATAGATCTCTTAAATGAAAAAAATATAATTTATACATCTATTCTATGCATAAAATTTGACTCATTGACAAGTTCCTTTTTTATAACTAGGATCAAATTATACGTATCGAATATCTTTATTCATTCTTGCATTTATGTATCTTAATTATCAAGTATACTCCACAATGGTGTATAATGTTTTGTTTTACTTAACTCTAAAAGTTATTTTACTCCCTGCTAAAAATTATGACACACTTGTGGTGAAACAAAACATATTAAAAAAGTTTTTTCACCCCGACTGTATACGTATTTACATTTTTGTTTCATGAGTCTGTTAGAAATTACAATTAATTGATACAATTCGGCATGTTTATTATTTAAAATATTGCCAAAACTCGCACGCATGTTTTAAAAAGTATTTTTAAATCAGTATAAATAAGTAAGCAAAGATATTAGCAAACTATCCATTGCAATATCTCGTTCAAATCTTAAACATCGGGAAAAAATAATACAGGAAATATATAC